GCTCAGGAAAGTTAAGCTTGCGTAAGATCCCACAGCTGTTAAGAGGCAGAGGCAGAATTCTGGCTCCAAAACTTTTATTTACCACATGTTTACTCTTTGTTGATTCACAAGTAAGAGCCCGAGGCTGTGTGGATGAAGTCACTTGGTTCAAATTTGACCCAGGGGACACTCTCAGGCCCACCTGATGCTTGAGTGAGTAGGGACACCTCACCCCTGAGGAGGATTCATGGAGGTGCTGTCATTTATGTGGATGAAGAAGCTGAGGGCTTTGGCAGCTAACTCTGCAGTGGGGGGAGGGGGGGGGATGATAACAGATTGAGAGTTTATTATATACCAGTCAGACACAAGCCTGTTTTACATGTTTTATCCCATTTAATCTCAGCAGTGCTATGAAATAGGCAGTTGTTACTGTCTCCGTTATTCAGGTGAGAAAACTGAGACTCAGAAGTTGACTGACCCTTGGTTGTGATCATACAGAATCCACTTTCTTCACTTTGCTTCCTGGACTCCAGGCTTTCCTGATCTTCCTCACGTCACTGGCCACTCCTGTCTCTTTGGTGGGCTTCTCCACCTCTTCTGCAGTTGTTGTAGGCCCCAGGCCAGGGTCCATGATGCTCTTTTCTGTCTGTACTCACTCCTTAGGGTTGATTTATATCTATATGCTGATGACTGCAACATTTCTGTCTCCAGCCCAGACCTCCAGACTAATATTCAACTGCCTGTCATACTGGCATCTCAAACTAAACACATCCTGCCCTCAACAACCTACTCCTTACATTCCACTCCCACTCTTACCTACCTTGGAGAATGGCACCATTGTTCATCTAGTTCCCCAGGCCCAAAACCGAAAAGGTATCCTCAGCGTCCTTCTTACACTCAAATGACATTTCCAAGCCCTCAGCAAGTCTTGTCAGTACTACCCTCAAATCATCAGAATTCGTCACTCACTAACTGCTGTAACTGTTAAGGACCAAGTCACCATCTTGGCCTGCATTATAGGGTAGCCTCCTAATTAGTCACTCTGCACCTCCTCTGTGCCCCCGCCCATTCTGTTCTCCAAACAGCATCCAGGAAGATCTTTTTCAGTGTAAGTCAGACTGTGCTATTTCATTCAGAACAAAATCCAAATCTGTAGAAACCCTATCTGACCTGGTTCTTACCTCTTCCCCACCCTTATCTATCACTTTCTACCTGCATTAGCCACACTAACCGACTTGCCATTCCTTAAACTTGCCCTATTTCTTCCTGCCTCAAG